CTGTCTGTTGAGACTCACACCAGCTTTTCGAGGCGGGAATGATCAGGCCTATTTTATGGATGAGGCCACTGAGGCACCACCAGAAGCATCTCTTCGAGGTGAGATGTGCCAGGGTCATGCAGCTGGGATGTGGCTGAGCTGTCAAGCCACATCCTTCTGCCCCGCTCCCCTGTTCATTCTGCAGCCCAGGAGTCGATCACCAGGGCTCTGAGCAGATGGTGGGAGCAGCCTGCCCACGGCCTGCCCACACTAAGCAGGTCTCCTCCTAAAAGTAGGGGTTTTGTGTGGCACATCTGAGCAAACCTCTGCTTGACTGTTTTGACTGTTTTGAAGGTAGAAAGGGACACTGGGGTTTGGGGAATGGCGCCTTTTGTTTCTTGCTCTCGAAGCAGTGTCAGGAGGTTTCTCTACTTCCTCCTCTTGGCATCCTGCAAACTCCACAGAGAGGACACCCAAAGCGAGACTTTCCATGTATCTCATGTTCGGTGAAGAGAAATTGTTTGGGTGTGGCGGCACCTGTAATCCCAGCTGCTCAGGAGGCTGAGGCGGGAGGATTGCTTGAGCTCAGGAGGGTGGGAAAGGAAAGGGCTCCGGAGCCCCAGCCATGACTGGCTGAGGACTGGCCTTGGCGAGCAGCCCAGGGGATGGGGGTGTGTGTAACTGTGTAGCCTTCCAGTTGTCGGGTGCTGTCCTCGTGGGGAGGCCTGGGCGGATCCTTTTTAGAATAGATTGGCCCCAGACATCATGACATCATGCTTGGTGACTCCCACCAGTGGTCAGTCAAGGGGATTCCTTAGGCACGTGACCCACAGAGTTGGTTCTCAAGCGTGAGATGTGATCTCCACTTTTGAGGAAATACGGGAGGGATGGAGCTCCCAGGGCAGATCAGGCAATCCCCAGCCCACCCCACTGGAGGTCGGTTCTCTACAAATCCCCACAGCATGGTCCTACTGGGACCCTTGGCCTCTCCCTCTGTGGTTTAAGCAACAACCCTTGCCTCCAATGACCAGAGATGGCCGGTTTACTTTTTGATACTTAAGTTTTGGAAATCTGTGTTCACTTAACATAGAAGGACACATGACGACTACTGCCCTTCCTCCCAAGGGGTCTCTGGACTTCAGGCACCAGTAAAATTTCCAAAAATATCTGAAGTGCCAAGCACAGTGGTCAGATTTTCATTTTTCCAAGTGAGGATGTTAGGAAAAAAAACAAATAAAAAATGAACCACCATTTTCCATCACTTTAAAAAAATTTTTTTTATTGTTTGTAGAGACAAGGTCTTGCTATGTTGCCCAGGCTGGTCTCCAACTCCTGGGCTCAAGCAATCCTCCCACCTCAGTCTCCCAAAGTGCTAGGATTGCAGGCATGAGCTACTGCACCTGGCAGTCACTTTTAATTAGAAAGAACATTTTTTTGTTTGTTTGTTTTTGAGTTGGAGTCTCACTCTGTCACCCAGGCTGGAGTGCAGTGGCATGCTCACGGCCACTGCAGCCTCAACCTGCTGATCTCAGGTGATCCTTCCGCCTCAGCCTTCCAAGTAGCCGGAACAACAGGCGCACGCTACCACGCCTGGCTAATTTTTTTTATTTATTGTAGAGAGGAGTTCTTGTCAATTGCCCAGGCTGGTCTTGAACCCCTGAGCTCTGGCAATCCTCTCGCCTCGGCCTCCCAAAGTGCTGGGATTACTGGCTTGAGCCACCACGCCTGGCGGAACATTTTAACACCAAAATAATAATAATATCAAAGTCAAACATACACTTTAAATGGGGAGAAACAGTATCATAAAAAAGCCTCAAGAATCTATTTATTTTATGGTAGACCATTCAAAGCTATCAGGATGTTTTCACTCATGGATGGGCATTGGAGCCACCATTGTGGGCCATTGGGGGGTGACTCTTGGTGGAGTAGAGGGAGAAGAGAGGCGTCTATGCTCCAATCCCATCACGTGCACACGCGGCTCAGAGCAAGGCACTTAGGCCTCTAGAGTGGAGGTCAGACAGTGCTCACATCCTGACGAGACTTGTGCAAACCAAATAAGAGGACGGAGGTGAGCCAGTGACAGCCGGCCCAGAGCCTCCCAGACCTGAGCCTGCTGGAGGACCTGCCTCCACTGGCCAGGCCCTGTGCAGTCTCCTAAGTGTTGACCCAGAAGGGCCATCTTCCTGAGCCGGTTTCTTCCACCAACACGTGTACCTGGGTCGGCAGCCTTTGAGAACGTTCACTTGCCATGATATGATACACCTCTATCAAATGCCACTTCCGGTTTCCCAGCCACTCACTTCCCATGAGCTGTTCATGGCACAATCAAAGCTGCCCGGCCAGAGCCTCGCTGGAGCCCCAGTTCCCTGCGTGGCAAGGGGCTTCCATGCGTCAAGGACCTGACACTGGGCAGGGTCCTCTGTGTGGGTGCCCGTCTTGTTTGCCTGCCCGCCCCGGTGCCCAATCTGACCCAGAGCGGGTGCTCATTGAGTGTCTGTTAATGTGCCAGCGAGTGAAGTACCCAGAACCAAGCAGGTCATAGGGAGGCTCAGGGCTGGGGGTGCTGGGTTTCTAGAGAATGAATGATCTATTGTTAGAGTTCAGGTTGGGCCCTCCTGGGGTTAGGGCCACTCCCTCAGAGTGGAAGCCCGTGACCTTCCCTCACCCACACAGAGAGCTGGGTCCACGTGGGAATCGCTCAGGCCTTCCCTCTCTGCTCGCTCTCTAAGACGTCCTGGGCTGAGACCTGTCCTGGGCACACCTGCTCCTCCGTGTTCACCAGCCCTGGCGTGGCTGCCGGGCTGGTCGCACTGAGTCTCCAGCAGTGGTGGTGACAGGGCCTGGCAGGTGGTCGGCTGGGGGCTGAGTCTGCTTGGGCAGTTGGAGTGGCAGCTGGGCGAGAAGCCAGAATCCTGCCGCCTTGGCAGTTTCTGTTTGGGGAAATGCTCTGGGTTACAAATCTCTGATGTGGTCTGCCTACCTGGAAGCCTGGGGCCTGCTAGGAATGGGGCCAAGGCACAGAGGAAAGTCCTCTGACCTCGGGGTTCAACACGTGGCTGGAATGCTGCCGTGAGACTGTTATTTCCCCACTCCCTGAAAACACAGCAGGCTGGCCTTGCATTCCCTGGTGGGCATGGTGCCCAACCCACTCACCCTTTGTGTCTCTGGTTAACATCACCTCCTCCAGGAAGCCTCCCATGACTCTTCCCCTCTCCCTACTTCAGCCTGGGTTAGAGGCTCTGCCTGATATAACACTTGTCCCGTAACCCTGTGTCCTGCTTTTTGTGTCAGACAGTGCTAGAGACTCTGTCGCAAGTCTCACACCTAAGTGAGTGCTCAATGAATGTCCGCTGAATAAACCCGTACATGGGTCTATATCCTCCGTCGCTGTCTAAAATGTACTGTGCGGGCTTTGGAGGGACATGGGCCCTCCAGGAACATGCGGTGACCCAGGACAGGGCTCCAAGGGTGCCTTTGATGACTGACTTTGTTTCCTCAGCAGCTCAGGGCTGAGGCTCAGAAGTGGGTGGGAGGAAGGGCCAGGCAGAGCCGGGGCTTTTCCGTAAGCAGAACTGGATTTGAATCCGAGCTCCACCATTAGCTAGGTGGGTGACCACGGGTAAGTCCCGAAACCTCCCTGGGCTTCTGAAGCATTTCCTGTAAAATGGGAGTCATTGTCACGCCTGCCGCCCAGGACTGCGGATGGGCTTGTGAGTCGGTGTGTGAGAGCCAGGCCTGGCACAGCGTCCGTACTCACTGGACAGCAGCTGCTGTGATAAAAATAGTAGTAATCGTGTCATTGTTAGGCATACACTAGGAGCCAGAGACACAAATAGGAGGAAGGACAGTCACCGTACTTCCAAACTGACCATATGAGTTGGGCGACTGAGACACACACGTAGAAACCTAATGGTGGCCCGTGGGGCACGCCATGCGATCAGTGCTTTCCCTGGTTCAGAGGAGGGAGCAGCTGCTGAGCGGTGGGTTCTCAGGGGCGAGGAAGTGGTCTTGAGGGAACAGCAGGGTTTAGAGGAGGAAGGGGAAGAGGAGGACATGGCCTATGCAGAGGCTGAGAGAAATTAGAACAGTGGCTACCTTGGGCCATAGCCAGTCGCCAGTGTGGCCGGGCAGGCTGACTTAGAGAGTGCTAGAGGGGATCACATCAGGTGGGTCTTCAGTGCTCATCTATGGATGTGAATCCTGAAGGCACTGGGGAGCCACTGAAGGTCTCAGAGGGAGCTGACATGGGCCAGCCAGAATTTTTTATTTTTCCACACTGGTCACCGGTTTGGATTCTGCTTCTGTTCTTGGAAAGCGGGTTTCAGCTCCCGAAAGCCCAGGCGCCTGGCTGGGGAGCGCCTGCCGTTTCACAAACGCACTTGGAATCACGAGGCCACACGTCCGTCCAGGCCTGCCTCTGCCTCCTTGCCCGCTCCCAGTCAGGAGGTCCACCCTGGAGGAGGCGGGACTCTGTCGAGCTGAAGATGCCTTTGCGGGATCTTGGAGCCCCCTCCAGCCCTCCAACCTCCTCAACCCACCCTTGGTCTGACCTATGAGGAAACCGAGGCTCAATGAGGTCAAGACCAGACAGCTTGTGGACGACAGAAAAGCCCCACAGCTCAAACCCCTTGACTTCCTGGCCCAAACGGAGCCTTTTCCCATAAAAGAGACTCTTCACTTACGAATTCACTCAGCATTCACTGAGGACCTACTCTGGCAGTCTCTAAGTCCTGGGACTTCCATTCTGGCAGGAGCGGACATTGAGGTTTAAGACACAATGTCAGGAACGCTTCCCTCCAGGGAGTTCTCTGGCGGGTGGGAGCAGCTCTGGTCACACAGCCGCCACTGTCCCAGGTCACGGCTCATCCTGGGGGCCTGTGGGTGGAGGTCTGAGCCCACGGAGCTCAGAAGTGTGGCCTCCTGATGAGGGGCAGCAGCACCGGGAGCCCCTCCGGCAGGAGGGTGTGAGTCCCGCGGCCTAGGGCCCCTGACCACCGCGGTCCCCCCTCCTGTCTCCTCAGCTGTGTGCCAGCCGCCGTGCCAGAACCGCGGCTCCTGCAGCCGGCCCCAGCTCTGTGTCTGCCGCTCGGGCTTCCGCGGGGCCCGCTGCGAAGAGGTCATTCCTGAGGAGGAGTTCGACCCCCAGAACGCCAGGGCTGCACCCCGGCGCTGGGCCCAACGGTCACCCCACCTGCGCAGGAGCAGCGCGGCCAGGACACCGCTGCTGGCGCTGCAGCCGTCACCGGCTGGGTAAGCCCCCTCCTCGAGGGACCTCAGGGCGGGCTCAGTCTCTCTCTGCAGGGGCTTTTCCGGAGGACCCTTAGGGAGGGCTGTAGGCATCCTCCCTCTTCCCATTCCCGGCCCTGCCAGAGGCGAGAAGGAGGACAGCACGGGCTCTGCTGGGAGGATGGGATGTGGGGGTGGGGAGAGGGGTCTTCAGCCTTAAAAGCTGGGCGCCTGCAGAGGGTGCCTGTCCTGGGATCAGTGTCTCTTGGTTCAATTCCTGGCTTTGCCACTTCCTAGGCGGATGGCCCTGGACACATTGCCTTTCTGTGGCTCCCTGAAGTGGGGACAGTGATCATGCCTGTGTCGTCGGATCGTGGGATTGTTGTGAGGATTAAATTAACGAATATCAGGAAAGGCTCAGAGCAGTGCCTGGCACGTGTATACGCTCTTTAGAAGTGCCCTTCCAGCCGGGCTTGGTGGCTCAGCCTATAGTCCCGCGCCTTTGGGAGGCTGAGGTGAGTGGATTGCCTGAGCCCGTGGGTTTGAGACCCGCCTGGGCGACTTGGCGAGACCTCATCTCTACAATAAGTCAAAAAATCAGCCGAGCATGGTAGCACATGCCTGTAATTCCGGCTACTTGGAAGGCTGAGACGGAAGGATCACCAGAGCCCAGCCGATCGAGGCTGCGGTGGCCGGGAGCGGCCACTGCACTCCAGTCTGGGCGACAGAGTGAGACTCCAACTCAAAAAAAAAAAAAAGAAGTGCCCTTCCTTCTCCCTCTTCTCCTCCTTCCCTGCTCGCCCTTCCTTGCCTGTGGTCTCAGCAGGAGGGACTTCTCAGGTCACTCACGTTACTCACTCCCTTAGAGGGAGGAGCTCTTGGGGGAAGGGAGTGAGAAGTGAACGGGTGTTCATGGGCAGGGCTCCCTGCCTTGCCTGCCAGCCAGGCTGCCTAGACTGCTTCTAGTGCGGGACAGGAAATTGAAACTTTATACACGGGTGGGTTTCTAGGGTTTGTGTTTTCCTTTTCATTTTTCCATTCGCTTCCTACTTAAGAAGTTCTTTCTGAAATCGCAACCTGGCCTTGCTGAACCAAGGGGAAGAGGGATTTATCTGGTCTCTCAGAGGCCAGGAGAACCGGGAGGGAAGCTGACCTGAGGTTCCAGGCAGGAGGGAAAGCCAGGAAAGGAGGTGAGGTTGTCTGGTGCTCTGAAGGGATGAGGCCAGGCGGGCAGGGTGCTGTACGGTGGGATCTGGGCCCTGAACACCCAGCAGATGCCTTCAGAGGGCAGCTCCAAGGTCAGGATCAGAAGAGCCAAGCCCTGCAGCCAAGACCTGGGCTTCTGGAGCAGAAACCAGGAGCTCAGGAAGACACACAGGGGCCTTGAGGGGCTGTGAGCAGGTGGGTGGGCCCAGACTGCACTCTTTTTTTCCCCTTCTTTCATAATTGAGTTTTTGTTGGTTGTGTTGAGGATCAGTTCATAGACTTTGTACACAATTCTTAACATATGTATTGAAAATCTAAAAAGTCACACACCATAATTCTCTTTTAAATAGTTATTCCAGTGACTCTCCAGCTTGACATTCGAGGCACATTTTCCTTAAGAGGCTATTAAGTACCAGCATCTCCAAGTGTTGATAAGCTGTTACACACACCTCATTCTACAACACTAAGCACAGTGCGTCCTATTCTGGCTGGTCTCGGCTGAGGGTCCCAGGTGGTGGGGGCCTTGTGTGAAGGAAGGACCGTGAGGGGCAGCAGAGGAGCTGGCTCCAAAGCCAGTGGGGTGGGGCACAGGGGTCTTCCAGGGGGCTTCCCCAGCCAGTCTTGTTGGCTTATGGGGCTCATCACTTATGATGCATTGAGCTCATGTGTGTGCCCGTCGGAGGTGGTGGCCTGACAGGTCACTCTGCCCCTTGCACCCCAAGTCAGAGCCTTTGGAGGTCCCTGCCCCCGCTCCTAGCCTGTCCATCCCCTCCTCATTCTTCAAGGCCCAGGCCCACTTCCTCCCAAAGCCTCCCCCATCACGTCCACCCAGCTCTCGGGGCTCTGCGGCACCCGTTCCCTGCCACGCATCCGCGGCTCTGGGTGTTCCTCCCATCATGCCTTGTGGTAGAAAGTGCTCATCCATATCTGCACTCTGACCCTTGGTCCAAAGGCCCTCGCTAGGCACTGAACTCTCCGCCTGGAGCCAAGGGCACCACCTATGCTGCTCAGTTGGGGAGGAGTGAGGCCAGGGACTCCTAGGCGGGCACCATGACTTCCTGGTGCGGCACTTCCCGCTCTGTCTCTGGACGGTCTGCTCATGTGCTCCCTGGGAGTTCCTGAGAGCAGGACCTGTGTCCTGCTCACTCATGGATGCGTCCCTGTGCCTAACACTGTGCCTGGTGCACAGGAGGTGCTCCATCACTGTCAGCTGGATAAATAAATGAATGAGGCTAGATGCTGGGAGAGGAGGAGGCTGCGAGGCCAGGGCCAGGTGATGTGAGCCTTTGGTCCCCAGTGTGGATCCCTGTGCACACAAGGCGGTGGAGGCCAAGGTCCTGGGGAGGCCACTGGCCCATGCGGGGCTTCCTTTTTGTCCTTCACAGGCTCCTTGGCTGGGGCTCCTGGAATGTCCTTAGTGGGCTGCAGCCTTCAGGCCAGCCTGGTCCCTCTCTGCCCGACGCCTCAGTGCCATGAAAGCTGGGAAAGTTGGAGCCCCACAGTCGGCCCAGCTGTCGGCCCAGCTGTGTTTTGCTTTAGGAAGCCAAATCCTGCCTGCCTGGTGGTGTCAGACATTTCCTGTGACCTTGGCCAGGTTTCCCAAGCCATTGCTGGCCTCTCTCCTAATGGCAGCTTGGACAAGCCCTGCATGTCCAGACAGAGGTAGTGACATGACGCAGGGGGCATTCTAGGAGTTGAGGGTGGGGGTGCAAAACGTCTGGGGAGGGAGGCACTGTAGGGACTGGTGATGCCAGAGACCCCTTCAGGAGAGCCTTGGCAGAGGCCAAGAGATGTGTGTCCCAGAAAGAGCAGCGGGACAGCCAGGAGTGCCAGCTGTGGACAAATGTTGTCCAGTCATGGTCTGGGCTGGCTGGAGGGGCCTGGAGGCTGCTCCAGTGCCAAGTCCAGGCTGTGTCCCCCAGGCTGGGTGGGGGGCCTGCCTCACCCAGGCAGCAAGAGCCAGGCGGCCAGTCGGGAAGGGCCTTGAGAGACAGAGAGAGGGCCGTAGAAGGACCTGGGACCAGCGGGCTTTGGAAAGCAGTGGTGTAGACCAGGGCTTCTTAGACAAAACCACCATATGAATCACCTGGGGACTTGTCAACCTGAGACTTCCAACGGGGCGGGGCTGGGCTCAGCAGCTCTGATTGGCCCCAAGGGTGCCAGTGCCGTCAGCCCATGGGCCACATTTTCTGTGGTGGGGTTTAAAGCATGGACTTGGGGTTCAGATCATCCTGGATTCCGGTTTGGGTTTACCACTCACCAGCTGAGTGACATGAGGCTTGTGTCCTGACCTCTCTGAGTCAGTAATCTCCACTGAGAGGATTCCAGGGTGGACTGATGAGGCCGTGTAAGCAGAGCCGTTAGTATGGTGCCCAACATGCATAAGAGTTCAACATGCACTGGCTGGCAGTGGGCGGCTTCCCTTTGCCACAAGGACTTGGGTAGACAGGAGGAGATGGCAAGAGCAGACAGAAGACTGAGAGGTGTGTGTGTGTGTGTGTGTGTGTGTGTGTGTGTGTGTGTGTGTGCATGTGCTGACCCGTTCTGAGAAGTCAGAGTCCAAGGCCAGCCTCAGGGGAGGATGACGAGCAGATCCAGTTGTGGCTTTGGCTGGTGTGGGATACAGTCATCCCACCAAGACCATGTCACCAACCTATGGGAGGGACAGTCAGTGGGTCTGCTGAGGACCTAGCGGCTGAGCCCCTGAGCAGGCTTGTCATGGGCAGTAGGGATCTGGAGGGCAGGTGGAGAGTCCGGGAAGCATCAGGGGTGCTGTGGCCCCTGGTGGGGATCCCAGGAGGCTGCCCCTGCCCACCTCTTACTGCCCTCTGAATCCTCCTCTCTGCACACCCCACCTTTATCCACCTGTGCATTTTTGGCAGCTGCTGTAGCAAATGACCACAGATTAACAGGTTAAAACAACGTGAGTTCACTGGGCAGTTGTCTAGGTCAGATGTCTGGTGGGCCTCCCCAGGCTAAAGCCAGTGTGGGTGGGCCACAGACGGCTCGGGGACATCTGTGTCCTTGCACACGCAGGCCGTTGGCAAAACCCAGGTTCTTGCGGCCGTGGGACTGAGGCCCCGTTTCCGTGCTGACTGTCACTTGGGGCCATTCCCAGCTTCAGGGCTGCCCAACTGCTTTGGCTGTGGCCGTCTTCGTCCACCCACACCAGCCACGGCAGCTGGACTCCAGACTGTGAATCTCCCTCTGCCTCTCACTTTGACTGTGTCTTTCTTGCTGACTCCCTGCCCCGCCCCCCCCACTTTTAGGGGCCCATGTGGTACTGCTGGGCCCACCCAAATAATCCAGGACAGTCTCCCTCTTCTTTTCTTTTAATGTTTTATTTTATTTTAAAGATGTGGGGTACAATTCAGGATTAGGTACACAAGTGGTCATTGTACAGGTAAAGTTTGGGCCTCCCTTTGGTCTCCACTCGCTTGGTTTGAGAACAGGTGACAGTCTCCCTGTTCTAAGGTCCGCTGAGTAGCAGCTTTAACTCTGCCTCCCACCCCAATTTCTCTTTGCCACATCATGTAACATATTCACAGGCGTCACGCTGGGGACAAGATCATGGGGCTCACCGCACCAACTGCTGCTGTAGCCTTCTCCAGCTGGGTCCCTTGTCCACAGTGTGATAGTTCCCCCAGAAGGAGCTTGGCACGTGGGCAGCCCTACGTGATCTGGCCCCCAAACCATTTCTGACATCTCCAGCGTCCACCACTCACTCCCTGCATTTCCTCAACACGCTGGAGACACTCCTACCACAGGGCCTTTGCACTTGCCGTCCCTGCCATGGAACACTGTGTCAGTTTCCTAAAGCCGCCATAACAAGTTACCACAAACCAGGGGTCTTCAAAGAACAGACATTTATTCTCTCGCAGTTCAGGGGGCTGGAAGTCCAAAATCAAGGTGTTGGTAGGGTTGGTTCCTTCTGGAGGTGGAGGGAGAATGCTCTGTGTCTGTCTGCTAGCATCTGTTGACCCTGGCACTTCTTGGCGTTCCTTGGCTTGTAGCTGCATCACCCTAATCTCTGCCTCAGTCATCACGGGGCCTCCTTCCTTGTGTGTCTGTGTGTTGTCTCTTCTTCCTATACGGATGCCAGCCATTGGACTTATGATCTACCCCAATCCAGATGACCGCATTAGGCCTAACTAATTACATCTGCAAAGACCTGTTTCCAAATAAGGTCACCTTCACTGGTACAGGCATTTAGACTTCAACACGTCCTTTTTTTTTTTTTTTTTTGAGGAATTTGGATAGTTTCTTATTTTATCTTATTTTTGCTTTTTTCTTTCTATTTCAATAGCTTTGGTGGGTACAAATCATTTTTGGTTGCAAGGATTCAAAGACATCTGGGCTTTAATTGTGATCACCACTTCCACCTGTGCACATTGTGCCTGATAGGTGGTATTTCATCCCTTCGCCCCTTCCCCACTCCCCCTTCTGAGTCTCCAGTGTCCATCACACCACTCTCTAGGCCTCTGCAGCTCCTTAGTCTAGCTCCGACTTATAAGTGAGAACATGTAGTGTTTGATTTTCTGTTCCTGCATTAGTTCACTTAGAATGATGTTCTCCAGTTCCATCCAAGT